GGGGGCTCCCCCAACCCCGGACCCTCTACTACCCCTGATCATGGAGGTCAAAACGGAGGAGGAAGAAAGGAAGGCGCCAAAGGTCAGGGAAGCTGACCTTGTGACTGGTCATGACACTCAGGAGCAGGGAGCATGACCCACGAAAGAGTCTTGGCAGAAAGAGGACTTTGATCCCAGGACGGAGCGCCAGCAGAGCAATTTATTGCAGAAAACCCAGTCCACAGTCCTCAACTTCACCAGCCCTCTGATCCGTGCAGCACAAAGAACGCAAGTCAGCAAACCTTCCAGCGGACTTTTCACTCTTCCACCTCCAGTAGGAGGCGATATAGGTATGGATGGGGAAGTCCTCTTAGCACAGGCCAGAGAATGGCCCAAATCGCTAAGGGACCCACCAGATATGGATTGTTAACATGTCGAGAGAATCCAAAGCTCTAATATTCTTAAGAAATGAAAAGGGACTCACAGAACCTCAAGCTGATGTTTGAGGAATGGGCTAATATGTGACTAGGATCACGGAGAATGGGATGAAAATTCTTGGTAATAGTGCACAGTTAGTAAATACTAAGTCTATACCAAGGACAGATTTAAGAACGACGTATCTGTGTTACCTCCCTGAAGTCCAACGACAGCCCCATTGTAAAGATGAAGGCTCTCGGATATGGAGGGGTCGGGTGATTTGCCTCAAACCACTGGTCGTGAGTGACACAGTTACAAGGAAACCTAAACAGTTTAAAACTCAGTTTTAATCACTATAATAAATTACTAAAATAAGAATTAACAGAATCAGGACGCCTGGGTGGCTCAGTTGGTTAAGCATCTGCCTTCGGCTCAGGTCATGATCCCAGGCTCCCAGGATCGAGTCCTGCATCAGGCTCCTTGCTCGCAGGGAGCCTGTTTCTCCCTCAGCCCGCTGCTCCCCCTGCTTGTGTTCTCTCTCTCTCTATCTGACAACTAAGTAAATAAAATCTTTAAGAAAAAAAAAAAAGAATTAACAGAATCACTTCAAGAATAAAACAAAAAGCCATGTCTAATATTATTAATTTTTGTTTTGATGTAAATAATACTGTTATGTACACTCCCCAAATCAATGTTTCAATGAGATCCTACCAGAAGATGCAAAAAAGAGCACATACTTCAGAAATGTGTGATATCAAATGCTTACCACAGCTTCATTTTGAAAAAGTGAAAGACCAATGATCATGAAGACAAGGCAGTGGCATTTGGAGGCTGAAAGCAATTTGATTTATTTAACTTCAAAGAACAAAAGCTTATTCTTCTAAGAAATCAAAACACATTTTCTGTGGAAAAAAAAAAAAAGAGAGAGAGAGAGACCATTTTAACTGCACTGCCAAAATAAATCAGGCAGGGAACAAGTCAGATCTAACTACAAAAAAGAAGACAGGCCAATGAAACAGGGGGAAAAGAATAAGGGGAAGAAGAAATGCCAAACAAAAGATTTTGTTTCTTAAAAAGAGAAGGAAAGAGAGAGAAAGAGAAATCCTAAGACTAGTTTCCAGTATCAATCTCTAATTTGAAAAAAAAAAAAGAAAGAAAGAAAGAAAGAAGCCAAACCAATGAGTAGATACGATTTTGCATGTCACTATTTAGATCAATTCTACACTAAAAATCCAAACATAAAAGCATTTTTCGGGAAAAATACATAACTCTAAGAACTATCTTAGACTACGTGAAAGATACATAACACTGTTGTCTTACTTTATTCTCTATAGTCTAGGGCACATCTTCCAATTCAGTCCAGAACCAGAGACATGGGGCCCAGAGGGAAGAATGTCGGGATTTCTCCAGTTGGAAAATCGAGTCCTGTTAAACCCCCCAAACACACTCTTTGGTGGGGGGGGGGGGCGGAGAAATGTTGAGATGTCTAACAGGAAAAATTTTGATGAATAAGTTTTCTAAACGCCCATGAATATTTCTTTCCCTTCTTTTTCAGAGTCTGTGCTCTGTTGGGGTCATCAGACAGGGCCACTCCGCAGGTCTCAATCCCAGCAGGCTCTGACCACGGGATCTTCTTTCCCCAGACCCAAGTGAGCGGTCAAGTCTGTGACTCCAGAAGCCAGGCTGTCTGGGATGGGCTCTGAATTCTCCCCTTCCTCTTGCCTCTTGTCACTCTGAACACCCACATTGCTTAAACTCCCTGTGCTTACCACCTCCATTTGCAAAATGGGGTACGAACTAGTCCCTACCCACTGCTGTTAAATCAATACGTGGAATGCGACTTTCAAAGCATGCCAAGTATATAGTAAACCCTCAAGACACAGCAAGCATTATAATTCAATTAATCTATGACCCAGGAGCATTCACAATAGCATTCTCTCCACTTCTGAGTTTGTTTGAAAATTTCCATTAAAAAACGTTCATTTTTAATTTCAAAATTAATTACCATCGAAGGCTCAGAAAACACATCCCCTTCTAAGGTCATTCACGAGCTCGCTGTGGATTTTGGAGGGCACGGTACAATGTGGTTACCCTCTACTGAGAGCCAACTACATGCCACACATGCTGTTGGCACTTGCCTTCCAACAGTGAGCTTAATATCTTTATGTCATATTCAAGGACACCGGGTGGAAGTGGGCTTAACCGCATAAAGGGCAATTTCGAAGTGGTGAAGCTAGCACGTGAGACCACGTCTTCTAGTCAAAGGCAACGTTCTTACAAAATCCTAGTGGATGACTGTGTGCTTTGTGGAGAATATCAAATTGTAAATCCGACGTAGTCAGGATTTCAGATGATTGAATCCAGTTCTTAGAGTCAGATACAGAAGAATTTGGACCAAGAAACCCAGCTGAACGATCCTACTTCTTTTAACCTTCTCAAATCTCAAATGCTTCTCCCTCTGCGCAGTAGAGGCCCAAACCTGGAGGGCGGAGCCTGACAGAGGATAGCCCTGCACGTCCTGCCTGAGGGACAGCACTGTCTTCCTACATGTGGTCTGCTCCAACGTCCGACACAAGGCTGGGCTGCTGACTTGGAGGCAGACTGTCATCGCAGCCCATAGCTTTCCCTGCCGCTGAGCAGGCTGGGCCTTCTTCGCCGTAAACCTGTGAAGCCAGGTGCTTCTCTTCTCAGGATCAAGGGCCTCATGACTTTAACCAGATTGCTCCTCTTACTTACCAAAGTCACTCCAGATTCTAATCCGGAATCCCTAACGTAGCATCTACTCTGTTCCATAAAACCTTCTGCGATGATGGAAATGTCGTGGATCTGCACTGTCCAATATGGCGGGCCCTAGCCAACTCTGGCTATGGAACATGTGAAAAGGGCCTAGAACACCTGCAGAACTAAATTTTTAATGTTAATTAACTTAGACTTAAGGAGCCGTGGGTGACTAGTGGCTACCATATTAGACTACAAGCTTCTGGATCCCTGGTGGAAATGCCCTCTACTCATGGGTCTAGGGCTGCCTCATCGTGAGCCTGCTCAGATGGAAGAAGAGTACAGCTGGTCTGTAGTCAGAGACCTGGGCTCAAATCAGCTCCTCTTTCCAGCTAAGGGACCTTAACATGTAACTTACCCTTTCCCTTCATTTGTGCTCTCATCTGTAGAACTGGGATAACAGTGTCCATCCCATTGAGAGATGCTGATAAAGGCAACATGCGAGATTTGTACAGTACAACGCCCAGAAGACTAGAACACTGAGGTGACATCAGTTGCTTTTATTATTACCTTCATCCTCCTCTTCCTTTGCCTAAATCTCTCTCGGTTCCCTTCCCAGGGCACCAGTAACTGGCTAAGAAATCAAAGATAGACTTTTCTGCTCTGTTTCTCTTCTTTAAAGAAAGCCCCTAGTTGGCTCCTCGATGCAGGGGAAGGAGCCTGATCTTCCCAGATGCAAGACTGTGAGAACTAACCCTGGAAGCTGTCAGAACCCCTTGTCTTGCAGAATTCAGGAGCACAAGTCTTCCAGAACATCCTCAACCCCTCTGAGCCTGGGCGGATCATCAGAGACGCTTCCTTGAAAGCCATTCCTCTCAGACTCCGCCGCCCCAGACACCCCTCGCTTGACTCCCGGCTCAGCTTCAACCTTGCCTCTTTCGGGCACCTCGAGACTCAGCCGGTGCCACCTCCCCACACCCCATCCTTCCCCCCTTTTGCAACTGTGACCTCTTCTGCCTTCCTGTTCAGGCTCTGACCATGCCCCTGGAGCTTTCAGAGCCTAATCCCTCCCAAGGCCTCACCCTCACCCTCTTATACATAATAAGAAACATGAAAGCGGTGAACGTTCCTCAAGCCAGAATAGAAAGGAAAGAGCAAGATGAAAGCTAAGCCAATATCAAATTACCACAAGACTTATTTCTTTTGCAAGCACTATCTTCCAAAATGAAAACTGCACCACCGAGAAGCATTCGCTTTTGCTTCTTCAATCACTTCAAAATATTTGGCTGGAAGAGTAACAGTCCTAGGAGAGCGATTTTAGAACTGTGACACATCAAAGAAAACTGGTTTCCAACTCAATTAAACGAAAAAGCCTTGGTTTGCATGCTCCAGCCTTTTTCAAATCACAGGTTTCCCAGAAATGACAAGATTATATTTCACTCGGCCTGCATGGTTTTGTAAAGCGTGTTTCTTAAGCTGCCAACATTTAAAAACCTGTGGTGATTCCACATTTCCGAAGTCTGGATATCCACCTTATTTTGCATAAGATCTACCAATACTTAAGAGCCTTCTGCCTTGTGGTAACGCTAGCCCGACAGGCAGGCTCGGGTTTCTAGTTTGCCACAATCCCCACCATGCCACCTTGTGTCTTAAGCAAGCCTCTTTCCTCATCACCATGCCGGCCAGGCCCCTGGAGGTACCCAAGTTTGTGAACTCTTTACCAGAAGCCCTGGACAGACATGGAATCGCCTTCAATCCCCCACACCCCCACCAGCTCTCGCTTCCCTGCCCAGTCATTCCCACACGCCCACCCACCAAGGAGGCTCTCAGCACTTTCTCCCCACCATGCCCGCCCCAACCCCCGTGTCACCCAAACTGCGACTCACCTGCTACTCCGTGTCACTTTGGTCTCTCTTCACAGGGGTCACAGGCACCTCCCCATTGACGCTGTCGGTCCCGCTAACGGACATCAAGCTTCTCCGCTCCTTCTGATTTGACTTGTGTTCCACTTTCGTCACTCTAAACCTGAGGGGGTGAAGAGCAGGTGTGGTGGGTTTTGCTTTCCCAGGAAACAAGACTCAAGAGTGAATCAGAAGTCTAGAGGGTCCCAAACAAATTCAGCCAAAATATGGGACATCAATGAAAAACACCCCATTCAATAAGGGGGAGGGGGGCATTCCTACCCACAAATGCCCCTGTCCCCTGCCAAACCTTCCAGGTGACCTACCCTCAACACATCACACACTCTGCTGGATACTTTCTAGAGCATGAAAAATGCATTAGAAACCACGAGGACTCAAATTTTAAATAGCCTCGGGGTTGTGGTTCCCAACAAGGACATGGGTTGACCATCAGTTGTTTTAACCACAGAGGGCGGGCTAAAGGCACAACTAACTTAGATTGATGCTACCAGAAGGTTCACTTGAGAGCTGCCTTATTCAAGTGCACCCCTCAGAAAGTCTTATCTCTGCAGACACACGGCTAGAGGGGCCCCAACTGTGTCCTTTATCAGCATTGGTTGGTGGTAGGGTTTCTCTGTGTGTTCGGCTTTCGACTATTTTTTTAAGAAAATGTGGGCTAATTTTCATGAAGGATTTAGGAAAAAGTTCAGGAAGTTAAGGAAGGGATTTTCATGAAGAATTCAAAGAGAAATTAAGGAAATTGACTCAGTTTGACTGAAGTCTTTCATAATACCTTCTCTCGAGTTCTGGTCTAAAATTCCCTTAAAACAATCTAAAGGAAAATACATTCTCCTTCTTCGTTGTCTAAATGAGCTCACCAACCACAAGGAGGGAGCCTCTGAGGAAGTAAAAGAAGGATCAGGGAAGCCGGTCATAAGCAAACGCTCACAGTGTTCTACATCCAAGAAAGAGAACTACATCTGGGCATTGACAAGAGCCATGCTGAAAATTTCAGCAGATTTTTTTTTTCTAAAGCAAACAAAATACACTTTGTCTAAACAAGCCTCAGGTTCTCATTACATGCCGCATTTACAAATTCCCATGACTCTGCCTCTTAATAAAACAGTGTGGTCATGAGTTGTAGGCTTCTGCTCTAAGTGGGAAACAGCCCTGCACTCTCCTCCTTGTTGCTTGTGCAATAGAGGCTAAAACTCAATCAGATCAAAATCATAATAATAATAATAGTAGCCAACAGCAGAGGGCACAGTGCTAGAAACTGGCCTAAGTTTCTAAGATACTCTTTCTAGCAGAGTGCTAGAAACTGGCCTAAGACCTTCCTGTGAGTCAACCGATTTAATCTTCCCAGCAACCCAGTGAGGTGAGTGTTACGTCCTCCTCGTGTTAAAGAGGGGGAAACTGAGGCACAGAACTACGAGAGCGAATATGGAAGCAGTCGTGCCAGCATGCAAATGAGGGAGATGCGATGAGTTCAGATCCCTCTCTCCAGAGCATGTTCTGTAGAAAAAGAAGAGCCAATCTGCTCCCCGCACCCAGCTCCGGCACACGCACTTGTAACCACAACTCCCGCTGCCTTCCCAAACGTCGCCTTTGCCAGCTGGTTCCTGCCTGGAACTCAGGATGGCTGCAGCGGACCCTGAGGAAGACCCCCCTGAACCAATGTTCTCCACGCCGTCCAATGGATTCACCCCTGGAAGTGTGAGCGCTCCACACCACAGAGAGGCCCCAAGGCCATGGTAGACGAGGACTGGGGACAGGTGCACAGGACAGAGGTAACGTGACCGAAGAGAAAGCAGTCGCAGGAATCCATGTAGGCAAGTGAGGTCCAGACAGCAGCCTGGGCACGAAGATGAAATGTGCCCCTTCCAGGCCTCTCCCATCAAACCTCGTAGGAACAGTCTTCCTTGTTCCTTCTCCTTCTGCCGGCAGATGTGGCAGAGCCACAAGATGGGGAGCACCTGGGCAGCTACTCCAAGAGCTGCTCGCTAGTGTGTCGGTCCGCACAAGCGCAACACAAACTTCTGTGTGAGGTTTGGGCTTTATCTGTTAGAACCCGTGCACTGGCGAGCATCGTGGGTCAACCTGACCGGACGAACAGACCCCCAGAGAGCGGGGACCACGTTATTTCTGGGTGCGTCTGTGAGCCGTTTCCAAGACAGCTTCATCAGCTCTTAGTCCAAAGACTGAGAAAAGAAGACTGCCCTGACCAAGAGGGGTGACTGTCATCAAATCCCTTAAGAGACGGAGCAGACAAGAAGGCCCAGGACGGAATAATTTGGTTTTCTCTTTATTACCTGCCCTCGAACATTGGCCTCCTGGTTCTCGGGCCTTCAGAATGGGGCTGATGACACCGGCGGCATTCCTGGGTCTCCAGCTTGCAGAAAGCCGTTTGTGGGGACCTCTGGCCTTCATAATCACGCAAGCCAACTTCTATAATAAATCTCCTCGTATACATCTCTATATACATCTATTAGCTCTGTTTCCCAGAGAACCCTAATACCGCAAGTTATTTTTTTTTTACCTTAATTAATACATCTGACATATGTTCTAGCATAGCCACCTCTCAGGGTTCTTCTGCTGCTGGAAAAATGTAGAACTCAGAGCAGGAGACGTGGAGAAAGCCCAGAGCTATAACTGGAGCCAGGCTTAGGACATCATACTCTATATTTAACAGGGACACACAAATCCACACAGCCCAGCAAGCATGTCACACAAACCCAAAGCCTCCACAGGGACCTTACCTGCCAACGGAGAGGACCGTGACCTCTCCTTGACGCCTCGCGTGGCCCTGTTTGGACTTGTTGGTGGGTCTTATGAAGTGCCACCGTTTGTGCCTACACCGCTGACACACGTCCCTCTCGACGGCCCCGCCCACTGTGTGCAGATGGTGGCCACAGATGTGCTTCCCCGGGGTGCCTCCTGGTGACAAGGGCCCGGGGCTCACAGGTGGGCTCCCAGGAGTGCTGGGAGTCACTGGGCTAAGGTGGAGAGAGAGGAAAAGGTAGAACTGGTTACTTAAAAAAAGGACTAGTTGAGGCAAGCTCTCCCCTGCGAGGCAAGGAGCGGCTTTAAATCATAGCCCAGCACCTGCCAGGGTCTCTAAACAGACAGATCCCACGAACATACGTGCCTTGAAGAAGAGAAAACATGTAAATTCCATGTGAACGATCAAACAACTTAAACTAGGAGATCTGATCCAGGCTGACTACTGCATCAAAGGAAGAAAGGTTTTAGGTCAAGATCTCAAAAGGGACACTCCAGAGATGTTGATGGTGTTGACAACAGTAACAGAAACAGCAAACATTCGTATTCTGAGCATTTCATACATGTTAATTCTGCTCACGTTTTCAAAACCCATGAGGTTGGTATTACGAATTTCCTCATTTTAAAAGTGAGAAGTTAACGTAACTCGCCTCAGGTCACACAGCTAGTAAGTGATGGATCTGAGATCCAAATCAGGAAAGCCTAATTCTAGAAACCATGATCTTAACCACCATGCCACAGTGCCTCAGAGAACAAGAGAGACTGCATTCTTTGACAGCCTGGAAAAAAATTCAGCCAGACCATCCAAAATATAAAAAGCAGACGTATATAGGTCAGATGTTGGCCATCTTCGAAAGGCATACCAACACTCTGGTCCACTAGAAAAGGAGACTTTAAAACAGGACAGGGCTGGCCTGACCAGGAATCAGCCCTCTGACGTGGTACAGGTGCGCGGAGAGGTGGGGCGGCATGTCCCCACGGAGCCCAAGCCCTGAGCCCTGAGCCCAGGCCAACAGTCCCGGAGGCACACGCAAGTCTCATGACAGCATCAAGCAGCCTTTCTGCTCCCAGAAACCGGCCCACTTGCACTTTTAAAAAGCAGTGTGCATGGTAGAGGACACAGTCTCAAACATCAGAGATAGCCAGAAGTTTTCCAGTGTTCTTTAGGGATGCTCTTTAGATCGCTAAAATAAAAACACACAGCAGCAGCTTCCTGAGACCAAAAAAATGTGAAATTAACTCCACACTGTGGAAAGCTGAAGTCACAAGTTTAAGAACATCCATTAGACAAACATTTCTCAAGTCCCTAAAACCCAGTGACAGGCACTGTCCATCACCCCAAAATAACGGAGGCCAACAGGCCCGGAGATTACATGGTCCAAACACCAGGGAGGCATCTGTGGTCAGGGCTGGAACGTGAGAGATATCGCAGCTTACACGTCCCTCTGAACCACACCGCCAGAGCTTCCTAGCCTGACCCACCTGCATTCGGAGGGACCTCGACAAAGGGCACACCTAACACGCCGGTGTGACACACTATAGATTATCTATGATGTGCCTGGTGCACCGCCCGCAGAGTAAACAGGGAAAGGTCCAAACTCCTCGTCCTGTCCCTTGGAACAACTTGCCTTCCTGGCCCGTCTTGCTACTATCCACCGTGTTCTCTGGCGGCTCCAGGCCAAACTCTCTGCCCCATGCTTTTACATTCCAGTGTTTGTGCCCTGGGCTTTCTCCACCTCCAAGCAGTCTCTGCCTGTCACGTATCTGGCTCAGATGGCACTTTGGTGAACCTTCACGGACTTCCCTCTGGCCCCACAGAGCCCCAGGAGCACCTAATGTTTGCTGTTCCTGAAGCATGGGCGTGGCCCCCATCATCAGGCCGTGCTCCCCATCATAAGGCCGTGCTCCCCATCATAAGGCCGTGCTCCCCATCATCATAAGGCTTCATGCCCAAGGCTCCTTTTCCCTCCAGCCTAAGCCCTCCAGACTCCAAGATCTGTGAAAGCCCAGCTCTAGCACTGTGCCCAGCACTGAGCAGGCATTCAATAAATGCTCCTTGCTGAAGAAATTTAAAAAAAAACAAACAAACAAACTAACAAAAAAACCTCTCCAGAAATACAGTTCTCTGTAATTCATTAGGAGGGACTATAATCTCAACAGCCCACCCAGCCTGATTTTCACTTCATCATCACGATTCATGAAGGTCTTTCAATACCCCAAGCCCCTTGTGTTCCTTATAATAACCCAAGCAACTGAGTACAACAGTTATCTCCACGTGTAAATGATGGAACTTGTGCCCGGGGTTGTGAGTTAACTGCCCACACAGAGTGGCCAATACATGGCAGAGGGGAGACTCCACCAAGGTTCCCAACTCCAACTCCAACTTCTTTATTGTTTCTCCAATGCCACAATCCTCAGCTAGGGCTGAATTCGCCCCAGGGGACCACTGACAATGGCAGGGACATTCTGGGTCACACAGAGTGGGGAAAGAGGACACCAGCATCTAGTGAGCAGGGCCCAGGAACGCTGATAAACATCCCACAGTGTACAGGGCAGTTGCCCACAGCTAAGAATTATCTGGCCCAAATGTCAACCAGGCTAAAGCTGGGAAACCAGCTCTAGCAGGTAACTTAAAAAAAAAAAAGAAAGAAAGAAAAAAGTGCCACTAAATGGCTAGAGGGGGGATGTACTCACCTTTCAGGGTCTCCCAGGCTGTTATCTGCTACCATTGCCTTTAAAACATCAACGTTTGCTAAGGGGGGAGAAAAAAAGAAAGCAAAGGATTAAAATGTAATGAATCACATAAGCAATCACAGAGTTATCACATCAGAAAAGCTGTTGGAAGGAAAATAAAGAGTAGAAAAGCCGTTGGGGAAAGATCTGAGGTCCTTCCGTTCACAGGGCCCTGGGGTCCCAGAGAAGGGAAGTTTTTCCCAAGGGAACCCCTAGAAATGGCACCATCTGTGGATAACTTTCACCACGCAGGAATTCGGTACGAGTGACAGAGAACCTACAGATAGGAAAGCGGATCTACCATAGGGCCAAGCTTCCTACACATTGTTCCAACAGACACAGAAAACTACTGTTCTTCCCCCTCCGAAACGAAAGGGAAATTTACATGGTACTATGCCCCTGTACTCCGCTCACTTGACTAAACGAATAGTGAGACATAGGTCTTAAGAGACCTGTATTCTGGGGCTGCCTGGGTGGCTCGGTGGGTTAAGCCTCTGCCTTCAGCTCAGGTCCTGATCTCAGGGTTCTGGGATCGAGTCCCACATCAGGCTCTCTGCTAGGCAAGAAGCCTGCTTCCTCCTCTCTCTCTCTCTACTTGTGATCTCTCTCTCTGTCAAATAAATAAAATCTTTAAAAAAAAAAAAAAGAGAGACCTGTATTCTAAGACCTTGCATGAGCCCGGCTGATTAGCCTTAATTAACCTCTGAATACCTAGGTATCATCAAGTCTACCCCACACAGAATCAGGGATGTGAGAAGGTTAATTTTCCAGTGGGCCATTAGCTTAGCTTGTCTGCAGGACCATACAAGACCTTAGCTCTGGCCAGATACCTGACATTTCCAAGAGTTGGTCACACATAGAGGTTACCTAACATGAACTGAATTAAATTAGACTTCCAATGTTAATTTTTTAAAAATCCAATATTTTAGGTTGGGGGTAGGCTGTCAACCAAAGCAAACTGAATCCAAGCTTCTTGGGTCCCCACCCCACGCTCCGACCCGACAGACACGCATGTTCTTTCTGCCTCTGACAGACTGGTCAGACTCTCAAGGATGAAAGACTGAGCGAGGGTTCCAGCTCCTCTTGGATATTTAATTGGCAAAGCCAAGTGCTACTACTGACTCCTAATTTTTTCATTGATTTTTTTTAAGTGCTGTTCTCATGAGGAACCAAAAATTCTCCAGAGACGGAAGAATAAAAAATCACTATTTGCCATGGGAGCCAACAGCAACATTTCACATTTAACGGCTCAAATGACATCCTTGGAGGAGGAAAATTAACCCTAGTTTCAACGCTACTGCTTTCAGGTATTAACAGTCACAGGTTGACAGAGTGCTTCTCAACTTTTTAAAAATTAAATTTAAGGGTTTTTAAAATGATTTTATTTATTTGTTTATTTATTTATTTATTTATAAGAGAGCGAGCAAGCACACATTTATTAGAGGGGCAGCGAGAGAGGGAGAAGCAGACTCTCTGCTGAGCAGGGAGCCGATGCGGGACTCCATCCCAGGACCCTGAGATCATGACCTGAGCCGAAGCCAGATGCTTAACTGACTGAGACACCCAGGTGCCCCCAAATTTCAGTTTTTTAATTTAAATAATTATTGCCCCGCCCAGGAGCCTTTTGCAACATCTTTTTTCTAATCACCCTCTTATGAAATTATAATACTGCAGATAGAGATCTGTTTGTGTACTATATGCATATGAAATAATAAGGGTTTTTTTGTCCCCATGATCCATTTTCGCCCCCTTCACAACCCTTGCAAGGGCATAGGTTTTTTAAAAAGAAATAATACAGCATACCATCTTTTCTAAAAGAAAAAGTCTCTTTGCCCTTCATGACTCCCTGTGACGATGTCCAAGCACATTCTCTAACCCAAATTCTGACCTAAATAAGACTCCTGTGATTACTGAGAAAGTTTTGAAATGGATTGGCAGAGTCTTCTCCCATACAACAGAGGCATGCTACCCTCTACAAGACAAACGGGAACTACAATCCGGTCATGTCTGTCTTTTTCCCTTTTAATTAATAATAAGGATTCAGAAAATTAGTTTTTGTTTAGACAAAAGGTTTAGGGAAGACACACTAATTTGCCAGCTGACACTTATTCTCTGCCATCATTTACTAAACTTCAAGACTACAGACGTTAAAAAGGGAAAACAAAAAAAGGTATTAAAATAGACAGTGCCAAGAGCACCCACTTGTAAGAATGAGCTGTTTAAAAACAAAAGCTTAAAATAGTTGCCAGAGGAAACTAATCACCTATAAAACGATGACCTCCCTTAGAAAGATGGGGTCAGAAAATGATCAAGGAAGATTATTAAAATATATTAAAATCATTCCTAAAACTGTTTTTTTAAATAGACTTGTGTTGTTTCTTCTATATTCATGTATTCCTGAACCTCGCCCTACCTCTTAGAAAAATTTAAAAATGGCCCTTGTTTGCTATGAGCGAATTCTTTAAGTGTAGGCTCAAGTTTCTATGCAAACGTCACTCACACCCTCCCTGTCCATGTGGAGTCATGTGGTTTGGTATGTGGAGTCATGTGGTTTCCTGGGTTAAGAAAACTTTCTAACGTAACCCCACCATTTGGACTTAGACATGTGCTTTAATTTGGTTGTAAAATTACTATGAAAGTGCAGTCATCTGATTAAGTTCTACTGAACATTATCTCCTCCCTGATTATTACTCATAATTACAATAAACAAGTGTTTCCCGCACTTGTCAACATTCTGTCCATTGGACTTCCCATCCTGGGTTTCCAGAGAATGGGAGCAGTCAGTTACAGGGCAAGGAAAACCTGTCGAGAACAGGAGAAATTTTCTAGAGGGTAATAATTTCATAAAATGCTTCCTCTCTTCTGTCCTGAATTTCTGCCTGATCCTAGGTATAAAGCAGCAGTCAAATCAGGCAAGAAGAATGCCCTGTTTTTCTCTCCCACCACTCTTCTCTTCAAACATTCCCTTGAGGGGTACTTGGGTGGTTTGGTCCGTTAAGCATCTGACTTTTAATTTCAGTGCAGGTCATGATCTCCGGGTCCAAGGATGAGCCCCAAATCGGGCTTCCCACTCAGCAGGGAATCTGTTTTTCTCCCTCACTCTCTGCCCCTCCCCCTGCTTGCATACTCTCTTTCTCTCTCTCAAATAAATTTTAAAATGAAATTATTTAAAAAAAAAAAAAAAGATTCCTTTGCAATCAAGGCAAATCTCCCAGTCAAGAACTACAGCCACCCCCAAAATCAGAGCGCTGCTGTGTGCCAACCACTGGCCGAAAGCTTTGCAGACTTCATCATGTTTGACTCTCCTGACCTCTCTAAGAGTAGACAGAGTCATCATGCCCATTTTACAGATGTAGATACTGAGGCCCTAAAGAGCATAACTGATCGGCCAGCCAGCTTGAGAGACCTGGACACAAGCCCTGGTCCGTCTGCTCTCGGGTGGATGAATTTGACTCTGATGTTCTCCCTCTTACTCCTTCAATGTCCAAGTCTCTACCCAAATGGTTAATAGTTCAATGCTCCAAGAACGTCAGCATGATCATGATAGCAAGCTCTGAGGAGACCCACTCGGTAATGATCATTTGTAACAGAACCCTTGCCATAAAATAAATTGAGCCCCAAGGTAAGAATTTCACAAAAGGATCCCTCTGCCTGGCGTGACTAACCAGGGGCACTTGGACAGTAACCACAATAGTCTTCATTGTCATCGGATGACACCGTTTAGGGCCTGGCAGAGAGGCTGGGCTATGGACTTGCAGGTAATTTCCAAAAGCCCACAGAACTCAAGAAAACCTCAATGACCACACACTAAAAAGATAAATTAAGGGTAGCACTGTCGCTAATCCGAGCTTTGAGATTAGCAAGAAAATAATCAGTATGCAGGTCAGCTGAAAAATTTATCCCTTAAGAGATTTATATAAACTAACCCAATTTGCAATATTTGAGACATGATGTATTTAAGCCATAAACAATGTCACCATGAGTACGGGTGAAATATTACCCCATCAGCCAAATTAAAAATGCAAAGCAGAAGACTAGTCATAAATCACGATTGCAGTTGTTTTCAAATATGTAAATATAGGCAAAGAAAACCTAAATAAACATAGCGAATGGTAATGGCTGGGTTGTATTTCATTTTATTCTTTTTTTTTTTCAATTTTTAAAAGAAAAGTTATGCTAGGGTGTGCTTACAATTAAAAAAAAAAAGGAAAATTAACACCGTCAAGGAGATCTAAATGGATACTAAGTTCAGAGACTGTTAATGACGCAGACAAAGGATTTAAAAAGGCATTTGTTCTGTAGAGGATTGAAGCCTCAAAGCAAACTAGAAAGCTAGGTTATAAACTGGGAAGAGACCCAAGTATGGATCTAATTCCCCAGCTGTGGTTTCGGCACCAGACATGTCTGGAAAAGGGTTCCAGTGAGGTCAGATGTCTCCCAGAGGCCAAGGAGAACCAAGGGCCACAGAGAGGATTGGAGCCACGCCCCCAAGCTCACAGTGGCTGGACAAATCATAGGTAGACTAGTGAAAGCATGGACTGGGGAGGGGGAGAGAGAACTGGGGAGCGGAGGAGGGAGAAGGAAAACAGTGCCTTCGGTGTTACTCCAGTAGACCTACCAATCAAGGCAGAGGAAACAGAGGCTACTTCCTGAGAAAGGACGGCATTAAAATAGAAAAGGGCAGGGGCACCTGGGTGGCACCTCTGGGTAAGTGGCTGCCCTTGGCTCAGGTCATGATCCCAGGACCCTGGGATGGAGCCCTCATCTGGCTCCTTATGCAGTGAGGAGCCTGCTTCTCCCTCTGCCTGCCATTCCCTCTGCCTGTGCTCTCTCTCTCTCTGACAAATAAATTTTTAAAAATCTTTTTTTTAGTGTTCCAAGATTCACTGTTTATGCACCACACCCAGTGCCCCATGCAATACATGCCCTCCACAATACCCACCACCAATCTTAAAAAAAAAAGAGAAGGACAAGGGCGCCTCGATGGCTCAGTTGGTTAAGCATCTGACTCCTGATCTCAGCTCAGGTCTTGATCTCAGGGTTAGGAATTCAGGCCTTCCATGGAGCTCCACAATGGGCATGGAGCCTACTTTAAAAAAAATAATAATAAATAAATAAAATAAAATAGGAAAGGACAGACCTATTTGCCCATGTGTGTGGGAGGTGAGGAAATTCTATACTAGTATGTAATTGGGACGTACTAGTATGTATGGGACTAGTATATACTGGGACTAGTATGTAATATGGGACAGCATACTAGTCCCAGACAGTCAAACGCTTCTATTCTGCCTTCCTGAAGAGAAGGGGTCTGCTGCAGGCGCCACCCTGCCACACGCCGGCGGTACGAGCTCTGGGCCTCTGTTTCCTCATCTGCAAAATGGGATGCTAAAAGGACCTACCTACCTCCAGAAGGTGGTTCTGAGAATTTGTGAGTTAATGCTTAAGGAGTTTTATCAACTATCCCAGCTGTACGGGTTATCACTTTAAAAGGAAGACGTTTCCCATCCCTCCTTCCTGATAAAAGGAAAGAGGAGTTGACAGCAAGTGGCTAAGCATGGCCTTTGGAGTCAGATGCGCAAGTTCAAGTCTCAGCTCTGCCCCTGCCAGCTTATGGTGCTGGCAAGTCAGTTAAGCATGGTGGGTCTCTCGGTTTCTCAACGGCAAAATGGGAAGGAAGTATCTGAACCATGAGGTGGTTAGTCCCTAGAAAGCCCTGAGAACAGGCCTGGCACACAGCAAACAGTGCATACTGGGAAGCTGTACGTCAGAACTCCAACCCCGGGGCGCCTGGGTGGCTCAGTCGGTTAAGCGTCTGCCTTCGGCTCAGGTCATAATCTTAGGATCCTGGGATCAAGCCCACATTGAGCTCCCAGCTCGACAGGGAGTCTGCTTCTCCCTCTGCCCCCTTCCCCCAACTCATGCAACTCATGCACTCTCTCTCACTAATAAATAAATAAAATCCTGGAAGAAAAAAGAAGAACTTGAACCCCTGCAAAGTTTTCAAGGTTAACCCACCTCAGCCCCACACTCGCTAACCTGGCGGCTGCTCCAGCTCTTAGAGGCTCTGGGCCCTGAGGCTATTGGGGATGTGGGCAAGGAGCCCCACACACTCCAGTAGCTTCTAAGGGCCTCGCCCCGTGCCCCTCTGTAATGGTATCCTCCTCAGCTAACAGCCAGTATTTATCTGATCAAGATTCAGTTCATCCTCCCTTTCAGAAGACAAGAGTTCAGAGTACGTTCCAGAGGGAAAAATGCTTCCGTTCACAAAGGTTATACCTTTTAAAAGCCTGAACACTTCAGAAAAGATCAGAGAACAGGCAAATCTATTGTACTAAGCCTTTGAATGGAGGATGTCACAATAGTGCAATGAGGTAAATATCACTTATTACCCTCCTTTTACAGAGGAGGAAACGGAGACCCCATGAGGTAAAATGACTTTCCCCAAATCAAGGTGAGGCCAGGATTAGAAGGTGAGCCTCCTGGGCTGGTTTTCTGCAAACACTCACACCCACTGACTCTTCAAAAACACACTAGATGACATTCTTATGGTGGAATAATCTGGAAGCTGACGTATTCGTGAGCTTAGGTGAAAAGAACTGCCGATGACCAGAAAGATCAACCGGGAAGTTCACACAAATTCTGACTCTTCAAGGCAGGTTTTTAATAAAACACAAATACTGAATTGTTTTGGAACAGTAAAACATCCATACCTTCATTTTTCATGATATAGTGGACAATCTGCCCAACGGTGTCACTGTTTTCATTCATACTGTCGTTCAACTCTGAAAGAGAAGGGGGAGAGGAGAGCGGGTTATGATCGGTCACCTCTATCGAGGCAAGGAGTCCTCACTCAACAGTCTCTAGAAAGCTCAGCCGTGGCCTAAGGGTGGAGGCTTTCTTCCTTCAGCCCCAAACCGCCCGACGCACGGCCCAGAGTGACTCCTCCGGCGCACAGACATAACAAGCACCAGAATGATCCAGCAACCTCTTCTCCAGTCCAAACACCCACTCACTTCCATGCGTGTGTATCAATCCTTACTACTCTAGTTCTCACTCATCATTTCCTTAAACCCTTAGGGGACATGGGAAGAAAACAGTTAATCAAAAGAAAAAATTCTCCTTGGATTTCCTTTCAACGGCAGACATACTATATAAATGTAGAGCACAAATTTCCTTCTCACACTGGGTCATGATTCATCCATGTTTAGAAGACTCTCCTCTCATTTAAATACACTTCCAAATGACCTACATTTTGGCTGTGGTTATTTGCCCACAAACTCCATTTACCTTAGGAAACTGTATTAGGTGACAGTCTTTGAAGGAAAATCAAACCTTCACCCTGAAACTGTGTAATTTCAGGGAGGAAGGAAAAGGGAGGGATCCTAGTTCACGGAGAACGAATCAAGGCGTGCAACATCCTACTCGTGTCCTTGGAAAAGTGTCTTCTCCATCCACAGTTGGCTTCCTCCTCCACGAAAATGAGCATTTGGCTCAACAGTGCAAATACTGACTGCTAAGCTGGCCTGGGGCGGGGGGGGAGCTTGCTTTCTGTTGACAAACACACGGCTTTGGTTTGCTCATAAGCTACCCATGACTCATCCAGCAACCGGGCTCTCTCTCTGCCTCAAAGGTCAGTGGGGGTGGGAAAAACCAACAGGCCAACAGGCTGGCAAGGGAGGAAGAAGCTCTCCCCACTCCACCCACTGGCTCTCTTGAAAGGTGACTGACTCCTAATGTCCCCTTCTGCACACACCGCCCTTTGAGGAGCTGAAAGGGATAAGGAAGGTGAGCTACTACTCCCCGAAGTCCAAGTCAGGAAACATCCCTAAAGCATGGTGAAAAGAACATCAAAGGAAGAAAACAGGATTTTATTTCTTGGATTTTTCCAAACCCTACCTAACTCCATGTTAAGAGGAAAAGGTAAGATATCCTCAAATTAATACTAAGGTACCATTTCTTACCATACTTTAACTGCACTGTTGACATAACTGTTTACTTAATAAATATAAATTCCAATCACATAGGTTTCAGAGAGAACTCCCCCAGCAAAAGTAATACCACAAAACCGATGAGAGCTATTTAAATTCCCCATCGTTCTTATCAGAAGCTCTCTTGGTAGTAATAGTGAAGATTCATAGTTACTGAGTGGCCATGTGTACCAAACATCAAATGCATCTTCTCTCTAAATTCCACAATAATCCTACAAGATGGACATTACAGTCCTCATTTAATTTAAATTAAATTAAAATTTTAATTAAATTGGCATTCAACTACCTAAAGTTAAATTCCAGTTAAATAGCAGAAGTTCGAAGCATATGGAACTTGCCCAAAGCCACAAGGAATGTGCTGGTAGGTGTTTCATAAGTGAAGGCCAGGTTTCAAGCCCCACGTGTGGTTAGTATGAAATCCATACAGACACACCACCCTACCACCTACTATGAAGACAGATCATTTTGGGGACACCTGGCTGGCTCAGTCAGTAGAGCATGTGACTCTTGATCTCCAGGTTGTGAGTTCGAGCCCCATATTGGATGTAGCGATTATGCAGAAATAAAATCTTTAAAAAAAAAAAAAAAAGAAAGAAAGAAAGAAAGGAAATCGCCCCCATCCACATCGCCATAAAAAGGACGCAGGTATTTACCTATCTTTTCAACCTTTTCCTCCTCCACCTCTTGCTCGGCTTCTGTGGTGCAACGATAGCCCTTCTTCTTAAGCAGGTGGCAGATGAGGACACCAAACAGACCCATGATGAAGAACACAGGGACGAGCGCATAGGCGATATACTCTGGGTGTCCGCTGCCCGTGTTGTTGGTGGGCGCTGGGGTCGTCTGTGTTCTGGAGTGCAACGTGCGGCTGCCCCCATTGTCTACAGAGAGAAACACATACGGTGGCATCAGACGTCTGCCGCACGGCAAGGACAATCTGAGGACCCCGGGGAACATTCACATGGATTTGGAGTCGGCTCCCAAGCCATGGGCCACGCAGAGACTGGAGGGTCAGGCAGTATGGAACATGGGCTGAGGGCTAGGTGTGGCTACAAGTCCAAGTTCCCATCCTGTCCCTGCTGGTCACAAACTACGTCCCACTCTGCGTCGTTTCTTTGAAACCTCTCAAGCCAGCCTCTACTTCCTCACCTGCAGCAGGAGCCACACAGTGTTTTAAGTATGTCTGGGAGCAGTGACAAGCACAAAAGAAACACAGAGTCATTTGGTAGCATTATAGCAGAGCACTGAGTGGTTATGAGCATGGACCCAGGAGCCTTGGGTTCAAGTCCTGACACACCCCCCGCCCCCATCTAGCAGCTGTGCAATAACTTAGCACCTCCGTGACTCAGTTTCTTGTGAAATGCACACACTCATTAGAACCTACCCACCATTCCAGGGTATCATAAAGATGAGATAAATACATGTAAAATAGTCACAACCATTTTTACAACATAATGAACGCTCAACTACGCAGCAGGAACATTCTAGGCACTGGTGACATATCACAGAGTAAAACAGACAAAGGTGCTTGTCCTCGTGGAGCTTACGTTTTAGAAGGACTTAGTAAGTGGAAAGATCTAAAATACGGAAAAGAGAGGAAAATCCGGGATGGCATCAAGATTTTGGCCCAGGGGACAAACATAAAAATGGAAGGCTGTGCATTTTTTTGTTTGTGCACTTACCCAAATAAAAATTCATCGTCCACCCACCATGTGAAAAGCACAAGGCTGGGAACCGGACAGAGTGATAAACAACCCGACCTGGGCAAGAGGATCTTAGAACATGTAGGGGAGCATCGGAAACAGTCCCCACACAAAACGCATGGGCAGATCATCACCGATTGAGAGAAACACTGTCCAAGGCAATATGCGGGGCAACGGGAGAAAAAAGAACAGTGAGGACCTATTTTATGACTTCAAAAATAGGGCAGCTAGGAAGGGGGCATCTTTTGAAGAAAAGGAGCAATTTGCTTGTGGACATGTCAAAGCATCCCACGGGCTTATTACCAGATCCAAGCCTGCTGGGGTGCCACGCACAGGTTCCCGAGAGTCCCTGTCCATGGGGACTCGCATCCCCTCTAGGAAGGAGAGTGAGCAGTAGAGAGCCAGACGCAGGCATCAGGAGATATAGTCAACGAAGACGACAGAGGACAAGCCAGGTAGGCAGAAAAGCAGCAAAGCACCAGCTCACAAAACGAGAAGACAATTATCAGCTGAAGGAGGAAGTCAGGTAGGAGGAGGAGTAAAGAAACATGTGAGATTTCATTGAAATGAAGTGTCCTTACTTGGAATACTCAGATTCTAAAGTGATGAAATGAAATTCTTTCTCTCCATCAGAGAGATTAATAGTGGTGAAGAAACCCAGAAACTGGAGAACTAGATAGGTTTAATTATAAGCTCTCTCAGAGTATTTTGATAAAAAAGGATCTGTGTGGCAGTGATTGTAAGGGGACAAATAGCAGGTGTGAAATAACTGCATTTCATCATTGCGGCCAATAGTATCAAACAGAAGCCCAATTTGCAAACCAGAGGCCACACAGCAAACAGCTATCGATCTTTCCCGTGAAAATACCCATGACCTTTGAACAGGAAAGGAAACTGCTGGTTTCTTAGGTCTGTACAAGGTTGCATTCATTATTTTATCAGACAATCTCTAGAACTGGGGATAACGTATATTTTCTTCTGATTTGTCTTCCAGGAATCAATATATTCAATGAATGAACAAATAAATGGAAGTACACACACACACACACACACACTTCCCTAAGCATATGCAAATATATCACCTAACTTAGGATTTACGGCCAGTCATTTAGTAAAAACCAGAAATAATTCTTTAACTCCTTTTACAATTCTAAGTCTTATTTACTAACTCCGTTTTAATTCCGCATATTCCATGCAACAGGGATCGGTGAAGCAAACAGCCTCTAAGACTGAGAGTTTTACTCAGAATCACAGTCTGTTTCAATCTGGAGGTGATAACTAATTCTCTTTGGGGGGTACCAGGAACAGGGAGGAAAGCAGAGGGGCTTGGAATTGGAGCGAACAGCCCCTCCTGAATCAGGTGGTTGAGAATGTGTCTTCATTAATGTGACATGTGGCAAACCCCTGCAAATACTACATATTTAGAGTCTGTGATTTACAAACAGGTATCAGTCACTTAATCTCATAATTACTGTACCATGGAAAAGCTGATGAAGATATGAATCTCAATTAGGGAAACATGAATTACAGAGAGATGCCATATAGCACTGAGGTTACAAGGTCAGATGTCCTGGCATGAATAACAACTTGGCCACCTACTAGGCATGTCAACTTGGGCAAGTTATTGAATGGTTCTGTCCTCAGTTTCCTCGTTATGAAATAAAATCAACATGATTGTACCTTTCTATGATGATTTTAAAACTTGGCTCCAAATTCTTTTATCCAGCTCCGATGGAAGTCTGTATCTCCTTCCCTTGAATACATCCTCTGTCTTCTGCCGGACCAATAGAATAGGTTGGAGTGATGCTCTGTCAGTTTCCAAGCCCCACGCCCTAAGAAACTGACAGCTTCTACTTCCTGTCTCTTGGGGCAGTTGCTTTTGGAACACAGTCACCATGCTGTGAGGTAGCCCAAGCTTCCCCAAGGAAAGAAACAAGTAACAGTCATCAACTCAACAACTATGTAAATGAGCCATTCTAGAAGCAGTAGTAGTCCCAGTTAATGCTGCCTGGAGCAAACATGAGCTGTTTCCAATGAACCCTGACCAATTTGGAGATTCCTAAGCAAAATGAGTGACTATTGCTATTTCAAGCCACGAAGCTTCGAGGTCATTTATTATACACCAGTAGTAACTAGACGATAACCTCATGCAGTCATTGTGAGGATTAAGTATACTAATACAGAAAGCACTTAGAAGAATGTTTAGGAAGAGACAAGCAATGTAAAAGTGTTTAGTCACCATCATGCTAGAACTGGACTATCCAGTAGGGTAGCCACCAGCCACAAGGAGCTATTCAAATTTAAGTCAACTAAAATGAGATGAAATTAAGAACTCAGTTTCCCAGTTGCATTAATCACATTTCAAGCAGTCAGTAGTCACATGTGGCTAACTGCTACCACACTGGACAAGTCAGAAAAAGAACATTTTCATCAATCCCAAAAGTTCTAGTGGAGAGCCCTGTTATAGACTACAAAGAACCACTGTAAGGCCGTTGACTGGAGAATCAACCGTGACCTACCATAGCAATTCAATAAGAATAAATTTGAAATCACAAAGGAACTATTCACAAATAATGCCTTAAAACATTTGTCAACCTAGGTAAATTTCGTTTTTCTTTAATTTACACTAATAACTTGTTTAGAGACACTGGCCATCTCTCTCCTTCACCTCCAGCTGAATCATATCTGAATTATAAGCAAATTATTTGAGTCCAAATTCAGAGCAAAGTTATTGCTGCATTAATTATGAGTCAAAAAAAATAGCAAAATCCTGAATGTCTGACAGTGGGATAGTAAGAAAATATCTAAGTCAACCACTGTCTACCCATTTGACAGAATAATATTCATCATTTAAGATTATTTATCAAGATTTTGTGAAGACATGAGAAAACACTCAAGACACAATGTTGAATTTAAAAAGCTTAATTCAGGGTGCCCGGGTGGCTCAGTCAATTAAGCATCCAGCTCTTGATTTCAGCTCACGTCATGATCTCAGGGTCCTGAAATCGAGTCCCACATTGGGCTCCATGTTCAGCACAGTCTGCTCAGGATTCCTTCCCTCTTCCTCTCTCTGCCCCTTCCCCCATTCTCTCTCTCTAAAAATGAATAAATAGGGGCACGTGGGTGGTTCAGTGGGTTAAGCATCTGCCTTCAGCTCAAGTCATGATCCCAAGGTCCTGGGATTAAACCCCTGCACCAGGCTCCCTGCTCAGTGGGGAGCCTGCTTCTCCCTCTCTCTCTACTGCTCCCCCTGCTTATGTACTCATTCTCTCTCTCTGTCAAATAAATAGTCTTAAAAATAAAATAAAATAAATGAAATGTTTTAAAAAAGAGAGAAAGAGAAAAGCTTGATTAAACATCTTACATACTGTATGGTCCAACTACTTAAAAAAAAATGCATGAAGGCATAAAATGTACAAAGCAATGACCAAAATATTACATGATTCCAGGTAACCAAATAAGAAGATAATTTTAAATTTTATTTTTATACTTAACTCTAATTTTCCAAAATTCATGTGTTTTGTACCAAGGTGGTAGAAAGATATAAAGCAGAGATTGTCAGCCATTTGGGAATCAGAGACCCTTTGGGAAACCTATGTTGCTATGAAGGTTCCTATTCCAAAATTTTGCTTCCAAGTTCTACGGGCTCTGAACCCCAAGTTTATATAAGGGCAAGTAACTTGATAAGGATGATGCTCAAGTTTCTGCTTAAGTAATATGGTGGACATGCCATTCATGGAGATGGGAAGTAACTCAAAAAAAAAAAAAAAAAAGAAGTTTGCTTGGTGTTGAATTTTACCTGCCTCTCAATTCATACATTGAAGTACCCCAAGTACCTCAGAATGTGACCTTATTAAAAGACAAGATCTTTACAGAGGTAATCAAATGAAAATGAGGTCATCTGAGTGGACTGAAATCCCACTGGAGTGGACCTCTGTCCTTATAAAAGGGGAAATTTGGAGGCAGACAGGAGCAAAGGGAAAACACCATGGGAAGATAAAGTTAGATATGGGATGATGTTTCCAAAGGCCAAAGAATGCCAAAGACTGCCAGCAAACCACCAGCAACTAGGAGAGAGGCATGAAATCGATTCTTCACAGCCCTCAGAAGGAAGCAACCTGCCGATCTTGATCTTGGAATCCTAGCCTCCAGACTGTGAGATAAACTTCTCTTGTTTA